GTACTCATTCCCACAAAAATGCAATACATGACCTCAAATACACATTTCACCTGCATACACACTTCATTCCCACATACATACACACTTTACTCCTTATGCACAGACACTTCAACACCTAAGTGTTTGATACAAACACAGAATGCAACCCCAATACACATACACTCACACACTCTTTAGACCCTATACACATACTACCGGCCCTGTCAGCACACACAAACTGCTTCCATACATATGCACACACACACTACAGCCCATAGCTACACATTATACACCACACACAGAGCACAGAGTTCTTTATACACACACTTTACATCGAACAGCCAATTCTAAACACAAGCCAGCCCTGTCCAATTTTCTTCTTTGGTATCCCCTTATGGGGACATTACAGACAAGACACCAGCATGTATGTCATTAAAATCACTTGCACTGTGCAAAACAAACACAGGGCCCTTCAACCATGTTGAGCTGGTGGAACTCTTGGGTGAGTTCCCACACTTTGTTTCCCCAGAACTTGACACTGCCTACCTCCCTTTGCAAGATAGCAACTCTGAGAATTCTATTATAATAACAATAACAGCGTGATAAAGTTAAAATAAATTAAAACACTGCAAGGCTGGAAGTACACTCATAGGATAGATGATATCAAAATCGCCTATGGGTGCCTCCCCTTAGATTGTTTTGGGGGGCTAGCCAATGATATCCTCCTGCTTCTGTTCCTGGAATGGATTCCACATCAAAGGAGATTTTCTTGGACTCAGGAAAGCTGCTTTTCCCTTAAGGGATTTTTAAGATATTGTTTTATTACTTTGTTTAGTCCCTGAGGAATAGTGATGTCTCGAACATAAAATTTTCGGTTCGTGAACTGCGAACACGAACTTCCGCAAATGTTCGCAAACCGGGCGAACCCGGCGAACCGCCATAGACTTCAATAGGCAGGCAAATTTTAAAAACCCACAGGGTATCTTTCTGGCCACAATAGTGGTTGGGGGGGGGAGGAGGCCTAAAGATAATGAGGGGGGGACCTACTGTCCTCCCCCTCTCCGGCCCCCACCCCTGTGCAGCGGGTGGGGGCCCTAAAAATAACAATAATGGGGGGACCTAATGTCCCCCCTGGCCCCCACCCCTGAGCGGTGGGTGGGGGCCCTAATAACAATAAGGGGGGGGACCTATTGTCCCCCCCGGCCCCCACCCCTGACCGGTGGGTGGGGGCCCTAAAATTAACAATAAGGGGGGGACCTACTGTCCCCCCCCGGCCCCCACCCCTGAGCGGTGGGTGGGGGCCCTAAAATTAACAATAAGGGGGGACCTATTGTCCCCCCCGGCCCACACCCCTGAGCGGTGGCCCTAAATAAAAAGGGGGGGACCCTAGTCACCCCTTCCCCCCCAAAAAAATTTTTTAGGGCCCCCACCCACCGCTCAGGGGTGGGGGCCGGGTCTTATTGTTAATTTTAGGTCCCCCACCCACCGCTCAGGGGTGGGGGCCGGGGGGGACAGTAGGTCCCCCCCTTATTGTTAATTTTAGGGCCCCCACCCACCGCTCAGGGGTGGGGGCCGGGGGGGGACAGTAGGTCCCCTCTTATTGTTATTTTTAGGGCCCCCACCCACCGCTCAGGGGTGGGGGCCGGGGGAGGACAACCCGGGGGGGGGGACCCTTTTTTTTTAACAGTGAGCAGCCACAGGCTGCTCACTGTTTAATAGACATGCCCCTACTCGCGGTATTGTGAGTAGGGGCACAATTTACTAATACTAAGTAATTTTTACTTAGTATTAGTATATTAATAGGGGGTGGACCGAACATCGCATATGTTCGCCGTCCGTGGCGAACGCGAACACACTATGTTCGCCAGGAACTATTTGCCAGCGAACCGTTCGGGACATCACAACTGAGGAAGTCCCATGTGGGAACAAAACATGTAGGACCTGTTTCTTATTTTTATTCATTTTATTTAAGAAAATATTAATTTTGATACCTTTCCAGAGTCCAAGAAAATCTCCTATGATATGGAGTCCATTCAAGGAACATAAGCAGGAGGATATTGTTGGCTAGACCACTCAATCGGCCCACTCACAGGTAGACTGCATCGATTCAAGATGAGCGGGCTATTTAAACGAGGAGCATATGAAGAGAGACCACCATCCCTGAGGAAGTCTAGAAGATGAAACGCGTCGGATTTAAACCCTTCAAGGACTTTGTGTATACCTGTTCTTATTTAGTTTTTATTTAAATTCTATACCTCTTTGAGAGGTTCTATCATTTCTAAGATTAGTGTCCATTCTGAAGCTTCATCCATCGATTGAGTGGTATCCAGAGATCCATATATTATGGAGAGATGATGTATTTGATCTACTATCTTGTAAGTGCATTTTTAATAAATCTATTGTGGATATTACCATCTGCACTATTAGCATGTTTTTTGCTCTTTTTAAGTACAAGAAGACCTCTAGCTAATTGGAACACTTATGTATATCACCCCAATATGGAAGGATGATGAGCCTGAATATTTCTGAACTCTTTTTCATCTGGCCATTATCCTAGCCTTGATATCTAGGTGGTATTTTTTTTTATATATATATATATTGCATTTTTATATATATTGTTCACACCTACTCTTCTTTATTTGCTTCACTTATTCTCAGTGTACTAGGGACACACCTTTTAGTAGGTTTTGTGATTTTGCTTATCTAGTGGGGATATTTTGCTTTGTGTTTATTTCATACTTCCAAGCAGGACTTTTCTGGACATGTTTAACCCCTTAATGCCATTACGGCGTTCTATGCCGTCGCGGCTTTAAAGGGCTTTAAAGCCGTTGTGGCGGCATAGAACGCCATAACGGCTTAAGCCCTGGGGAGCTCCAATTTACTTACCTCCGCCACGATCCTCTTCGGGAGGGCTGCCTGACAGCCCAGACAGCCCTCCCCCGGCGAATGAGGCCCCCGGGGGCCATGTGATCGTTCTCAAAATAAAAATAAACATGTGTAAAATAAATTAAATATATTTATATATATATAATATATGTATAATATATGTATATATATATTATATATAATATATATACATATTATATATATATATAACGTCATACGTTGTGTATTTTAATACTAATATTAGTATATATATTAATATTAAAATACACTTAGAATGACATTACATATATATTATATGTATATATATTATATATATAATAGATATATACACATATATTATATATATATATATATACGTATAATTACAATAATAAATAAATAAAATAATAAAATAAATAAATAAAATATTGAAACAAAATTTAATATAAATTATATGTTCCTATGCAATTTCATTCTAACTGTATTTTGTTATTAATATATATATATATATTGGTAACAAAATACACTTAGAATGACATTCTATATATATCTATCTATATATAAAATACAAATAACCGCAAATATATATATATATAGATAAATACATATAATTACATAAAAGATTACATTAGTATCCACATAGAATTTAAATACCTATAAATGCATATATATTAAAATTCTATGTGTATATTTAAGTAATCTTTTAACATAATTATGTGATTTGATTAATTAAAATTTGATTGACATGCATGACAACACAGGGAGAAAGTGCAGAGAATTTAATTGGTTATGTTGCCTTTGAGAGCGTATGGTAGCCCAGGAATGAGAATTACCCCCATGATGGCATACCATTTGCAAAAGTAGACAACTCAAGGTATTGCAAGTGGGGTATGTCCAGTCTTTCTTAGTAGCCACTTAGTCACAAACACTGGCCAAATATTAGTTTTTTGCTTTTTTCACACAAAAACAAATATGGGCGCTAACTTTGGCCAGTGTTTGTGACTAAGTGGCTACTAAAAAAGACTAAACATACCCCACTTTCAATACCTTGGGTTGTCTTCTTTTTCAAATGGTATGCCATTATGGGAGTACTTCTCATTCCTGGGCTACCACACCGTCTCAAAGGTAACATTACTAATCGGGCAAATTTCAATTTGAAAATGGAACGTTCTATATTTGACCCTGTAACTTTCCAAAACACTATAAAACCTGTTAATGGGGGGTACTATTGTACTCGTGAGACATCGCTGATTACAACTATGTGCATTTTTTTGCAGTAAAACCTAACAGTATTATGACATTAACAGCTAAAATGTCAGACGGAAATACAAATTTAAAATAAAATCTTATTTTCTCAAATTTTTTTAAATTTTATTCATAATAAATTATGTTCCATATATGAATAGTTAATGATAAATTAAAGCCCTGTTTCTCCTGAACAAAATGATATATAATAAGTGTGAGGGCACTTAATGTGACAGCGGTGAATTACGGTTGGACAGACATATAGCGCAAATTCCAGTTTTTGTTTACGTTTTGTTTGGATCAGAACGTGCACTATTGACTCCGTCCTGAAGGGGTTAAAGCAGCTACTGAGGGAATAACATCAACAACTATTGTAACGGATCGCCTGGCACCCCGACTGGGTACCTCCGTTGAAGGATGCTCCTAGCGCTTCCTGAGGACTACAAGCACTCTGGCAGACACCACAATCACCGAACCGGAGAAACAAATAAATTCTCCCAAGCATATGAATGCTGTAGACAGTTGAATAGGAACCATAAGAATAGGTTTACTCTCCTAGCAGTCAAACTGGAACAGCATACAATAAATCCTTCCCCCAATAATGAGACGACACTTCACTTTGAGGGTTAAAACAGGAACTCCCTGTACTGTCACATACAGTCTCTTTTTATTCCCAATCCACAAACATAGTACAGCCCACAGGGCGTTACAAAACAACCAATCAATCCGTACAATACACCCAGACACTCCCCCACAAAATCCTCCCCTCTGCATGTGATATGATTACTGAACACAATGGGTAATCTCATTATCACCGGCAGAGGAATACAGTTTTTACACAATATTTATAACTTCTAAAATATACATGTCACAAACATAAAACATACATTTTCATAATCAATCCATTCAGGGGAACAACATATTAAAAAATGGCACGAATCAGACCAGGGGTTCAAAAGTTAAGGGAAAGTCCTTTGTGACTAAATGAAGCATGGCTTTCCGGCCCAAACCAGTTTCAGAGTCTTCTACCCTGGAGATAAGTGAGAAGTAATTCAATTATCTCCCAGGACAGACACAAGACTCCATTAGCCACATGGCAGACAAAGGACAACAAAAGACATAAAAATACATACTGTTACATTTATCACATAGAACCTACACATTTACAATTTACCGAACACATAATAGCATATATAATATTGCATACCGCCTGAATGCAATCTGCTACACAGTCTTAAAGGGACATTGTTCCTAAAAGTCATAATATGTCCAGGGATGGTTTTTAAAGGGCCAGCAGCAGCACCATACAAATCCAATATGCCCAAATATTGTACTTGAAGGGCCAAATAACCCAGGGACATAGTCATGAGGTAAGAGGCTGGCAATCAGGCTCCTCCAACAGCCAGGGGAAAATCCGGTGACAAAAGGCGTTTCGTCACAACTATATTTTTTACCCAAGCTGTGCATGTGTGAGAATAAGAGGTAGCCACTAGTAAATTCTAGTGTGAGACTAGGGTTAGTTTGCTGTTGTATCCAGCAAGCTAGCTTCTTGCTGGAATACTTGAAACAACTTTGAGTGGGAGATAGGAGATTGGCATTCTTTATTGTTCCTAGTGTGAGACTAGATTGACACCGTTGTTACCTTTTTTGTTTGTTAACTGTTTGGTGAAAGAAAATCCTTCTGTGTGTTAAGCAACAAAAAAAAAATCCTCCTGCCTAGCCTGAGTCATTGATTCCAGTGTGAGACTATCCTTAGCTTGCAGCTGTATCTTGGTATTAACATACAATTTGCATATCAGAGTGATCCCATCCATTAGATCAGTAAAGACAATCGTTTGGGCTAAAGGGCAACCTACTGAGTTCTG